ATTTAAGTTTTTTAGTAAGTTCATCATAAATACCTTCACAACTGTCAGGAGTAGCACAATATATTATAATTTTTCCTTCAACTACTTCTTCTATTAAATTGATAATATCTAACAATAATTTTTGTTTTTGACCCTTTTGTTGTACTTCAATATTTATTTCAGGCCTAGCAAAATTTTTACTTCGAAAAATTGTTAGATTTCTTAATGGAATTTGTAATGATTCACAGATACTGCTTGCATCTTGAAGTGAACATGTTGCTGTTAGTAACATTATTGGTGAATTAGGGAATAGCTGTCTCAATTGTCCAAGGTTTCTCCATGATTTTCTATGGGTAAAAATAAATAAATTAGACTGTAATCAATTATTATATATAAAAAAATTTTTTTACCTAAAATATTCATAAGTTATTATGCAATGTGCTTCATCTATTACAAAGCGCAGCCCTTTTGTTTCATATATTCTTTTCAACATTGCTCTAAAGCTTGGATTTAAGTCAAATTTTTCAGCAGTAGCAAAAAGAATTTTAGTGAACCCTGCTGCAATTTCTTCAAATACTTTAGACTGATATTCCAAAGACTGCCCTGTTTTAGAATATATCCCAGCACAATTAATTCCAGCATGAATAGCTTCGACCTAATAAGATAAAATAATTAGTTTATATTCATATCTTTTTTCAATATAAAATGTACAAAACTAATATTAATTTTTACCACTTGATCATCAATCAGGGCCTTCAATGGAGAAAATACTACAGTAAGTTCTTTCCCAATCAATGCAGAAATAGAATAACATAATGTTTTACCTCCTCCAGTAGGTAATAGAATCATTGTATCATTATTAGCCACAAATGACCTAATACCTTCCTCTTGACATTCTCTAAATGTTTGATACTGATAGATGGTGGAGAGTGCAGATTGTATCTTATCAGTATTTTGAAATGATTCTATTGTTGAAAATTCAGTTATGTCTGTTGTTAAAGGCAAATTGTAAAACATATTATTTTCAAAATAAAAGGTGCAGGTTTTACAAAATCCTCTAGAAGAGAACTTAGGAAAACTACAACAAGAGGTGCATTTATTTATTGTTTTAAAATCCCGGATCAAGTGAGCAAATGAAGGTCTGAAATTTTCTTGTACAATTCTTGAATGAAACCTCATGCCATAAGGTACCAGATCTTGATCATAGTCAAAGGCTTCTAATTGTTGTTTTTGTTCTATAATTTTATTTTCTCTTTCAATATTTCTTACGTGAATATTTTTCAAATTTCTAAATCTTTGAACATCGTGTGCAAGAGCAATTTTTTCTATATTCTTAATATCATTTTCTGAAAGAGATGGAAGTCCCTTAATTTTTCTGGTAATCTTAATAAATTCTAATAAACCTTCATTATGGTCCAAAATAGCAACAGCATGACGTGCTTTAAATGATGCCCAAAAATCAATCTTTTTATCTAAAGTTTTTAATTTTCTTCGATTTAGTGACTCATTATAAGAAGTTCTGATTTCTGTCACAAAACTTTGTTGTGTAGGAGAGGCAAAACATTTTTGCAACATTTTTTTAAAGTCTTCTTTTTCTGAATTATTATATTTTAGTAAATTAGGTTCAACTAATTCTAAATCAGGATTATCTTTCAACCAGCATACTTCTGACCAACACAAAGAGTGATCTCCAGAAAGGTGTGAAACTAAACCATTCACTTGCACATTCTTCAATTCTTCTTCTGTTGGAGTTATCATTTCCTTTGATGCTTTTCTTGCAGAAGCAGCATATACACAACTACAAAAGTATTTCATAATTGGCTGCTCAAAGGTATTCCACTTTTTGTTTTTAATTATCTTTCCTCTGATGATTTTAGTTGCATGTTTTAAATCACCATACACTTTATTAACCACTCTTTCTGTTTTTAATGTTTTGTTGCTATCTAAATCTCCATCAACACCTATATCTAATAATATATTTTCTTCATCTAAAATAGGTGTTATTTTTTCTAAACAGGCAATCAAAGTTGCTTTTTAAAATAAAAATTGATTAGTTTTAGTATTGGTATATATAAATTATTAAGCAGCATTGCTATTTAAAAATTTTTTTTGGGACTGTCAATTGAAAATAGTCAATGGTAATATAACCACTAGTAATTATTACCTGTATATATTTCTGCATATTTTCTTGGAGTTCCTTTGATTATTGCTTCACGTTCACCTAATATTATGGCAAGTATTATATCTTTGAATTTGATTGACTTATTTGCAAATGGAGCATGACCACTTGAAATTTCCCATAAAAGCACTCCAATGCTATAAATATCTGATTTTTCATTGCGACTATAATTTTCAGCATTGTTTAAATATTCTGGATCTGAGTATCTTATTGTACCTAATCTTTTAGAAGACTCTATTGAAGGATCCAATAAGGATTTGGAGATTCCAAAATCACAAATTTTAATATTTCCATTATGAATGAGAATATTTTTAGAATGCTATTTAAAATATAATTGTTGGTTATTATTATTAAAAATGTAAGAATAATTAAATATAAATAAGTAATGTTATACATACCAGATCTCTATGTACTATTTTATTTTCATGCAAATGTCTTACAGCACTTACAATTTGTTTTGCAAATTTTAATTTAATATTCCAATCCATTATATTGAAATTGTATTTTAAATAATCACATAGATTACCATTATTTGCATATTCTAATACAAACATGTAAGTTGTTTTATGTTCCTCTTTATTGATATGTAAAAAATTTAAATTAACAAAGTATAATAAATATATTGCAATCCAATGATAATTAATAATGAAAAGTCAACATACTTTCTTTTGTTATACCATAAAATCCTAATATATTACTGTGAAGTTCCACTTTATGATGTTGTTTTGCCTTTAAAAAAATCAATTGTAAATGTTTTTGTTAATATATAATAAATTTATTAGATAAAAAAAATATTTACCTCATTAATAAGTTGTTCAAAAGTGTATTCTTGGTCAATATTAATTGATTTTAATGCCACAAGCCCCTGTGAATTTTTTGAAGATGCACAAGAAATTGTTCCAAATGATCCATCATCAATAAATTCAATATTTTGAAAAGAATTGTAATCATGAAATAGAATGCATTCTTTTTCAAGTTGATTCTTAAACCTTTTTTCCTCTTCTGAAATAGATTCTAGATTTATTTTTTGCCTTAACATTTGTACAACTTTGTAAAATGATCTTTCTACATTTACAAATGCTTTTGCTGAACTTTCAAAAAATTCACAGCCAAGTCTCTTTGCCATATTAATTCCTTCTTCCCTTGAAACCTCCCGTTCTGTATGCTTGTCACATTTATTTCCCACAAGTATAAATGGGATTTTATTAGAGCCTTTTACTCTTATTATTTGATCTTTATACCTTTCTATTTGTTCAAATGTTGAATGTGATGATATAGAATATATTAGAAGAAAACCTTCTCCATCTCTATATATTTATTAGAATTATATGTATAATTTTAAGTCAGGGTTTAATGATTCTAACAATTATCATTAGAAATTTTAAATTTCTTTCTACCTGATCCATTGATCCCAAAGTGCTGTATACTCCTCTTTATTTAAAAAAAGACATAGTAAATGTTTTATTGTACTCAATTTTATTATAAACAGGCAACAAAGTATTACCTTGTCCTGAAGTATCTAGAACATGTAGTACACAGGGTTGATCATCAATTACTACTTGTTTTCTATATGAACCTTCAATTCTTTGGTCATGGATCTAAAAAAATAAAAACGAAATATATTGGATAGGAATAGAAGATGTTCAAAAAATAATGTTTTAAATAAAATATTTTACCTCTATATTCAAGATAATAATTATTTTTAGTTTAATGCATAATAGATAGAATTCGTGATAAAAAGGAAAAATTTATACAATTTGAAAAATACATACCAACAAAACTGATTCGAACACAACTAAACCAGCCAAGTTTAAGAAATGTTTAGCATTAGTCAATGGGAAAATAGTAATGATATTTATCACGCCCGTTACGCGATATGTAGATATGCGATCATTTAAAAATTCACTGATTACATATACCGTAGGTTAATAATACCTGAGCTGTGATAGCAGTCTAATTAAAGAAAAAATAAACGGATTTATTAAAACAATACTTTTTTTAAAACCCCCCAAGCTTTATTACCTTGCCAACACCACTATCTCCAAGAACAACAAGTGTGTATAACCTCATCTTAGCAAGAGTTAATTAATTGCCAAAAAAGAAAGGAGACAAAACAGTCAGTACCTATTGTGTCTTAAGCACCAATATTCATATTTCAAAATGACAGACACAAAACAAAAGCAGGCATCGTGTAAAAAGGTAAATTAAAATCAATGTTAAATACCATGGATGCATTTGGAAAGTTATATATATTACTATTGTATGCGAAATTGAAACTATGTGAAATCGAAATTTATAATTAAAATTTTGGGTTAATATTCAAAGTGTCACAATTAATACAATTAATGTAATACAGCCGGGATACAAAATTCTATAATATTAATTGACTAATTTGAATTTCACGCGTAGATTTAAAGGTTTTTTTAGTTTTCTATTCGTGTAACCAAATCTTGAAACTTTTTTATCTTTCTCTCAAGGTATTTTTTATTTTATTTTTTAAAAAAGCAAGAATTTTAGTTATATTATAGTGTTGAAAGAAGATCGTTGCAAGAATTATGAGTTTAACCGTCCTCACATTTTTCCAATCTGCACACAATCACTATTTATTATATTTAAACATTAGATCAAACGCGTTATATATTTGTCTACATTAAAGGTGAATTCCATTAGAATAATTAACTCATTTATAATTTATTTTATATATATATATATATGTATGTATGTATGTATATATTCATTCATTTATTTATATTTATACACATATAGATTATATACATTATTTTACGTTTATTTCCCAAAGATTTGATATTCAAAGCTTCAAAGTTACAGTCAATATTTTATCATGAAACGTAGTAACGATAACAGCAATCAAAGTCATGAAGATGCTAAAAAAGCAAGGCATAATCCAAATAATAGTAGTGGCAACGTTTTTTTAACAAGAGGTAATGAAAATTAAAAATTTATATTGATTTTACAAAATATTTTTATCAAGCACTAATAGCTGATTATTATCATAAAGCCGCTCCGTTGAGATTAAAGCAACCCACAAATCGACCTTCAAAAATTTATCAAAAATATTCTACAAATGTTATTAGACGAACTGTATATCTTGGAAATTTACCACCAAATGTAGAAGTTTATAAACTTATAAATCAAATCAAAGTTGGTCCATTAGAGTCTGTAAAACTACATCCTGACAGAATTTGTGCATTCATTTCTTTTATGAATGCTACTCTTGCAAAAGCATTTTATGATGAAGCTACGAACAACCAAATTTTTTATGAAGGTCAAGAACTTTACGTTGGTTGGGGTAGATTATCAGCTGTACCTTTAGGTGTTCAATTAGCTGTTGAAGAAAACAATGCTTCACGTAACGTTCTCCTAGAAAATTTGGATGATTCGATCACTGAAAGGATTTTACATAGAGATTTGGCTGAATATGGTTATATTGATACTATTCAAATTATCAGAGAAAAAAAGATTGGATTAGTTCATTTCTGGAATATTTCAAGTGCCATTAGAGCAGTTGAATCATTACCATCAAAATACGCATACAAAAAGGTTAAAGTTGATTATGCCAAAGACCGGTGTGAAATATATATGCAAAACACTCTCCTTCAAAGCTTTGGAAATAAGGCATCTCATAATCCTTATCTTGATGTTATGTCAACAACTCGTAATCCTTATCTTAATGATGTGACAACAACTCGTAATCCTTATCTTAATAATGTGTCAATTCATGATCATAATCTTAATGCTATGTCATCAATTCATAATCATAATCTTAATGCATGCACTTTATTTCACAAAAGATATCATCCCAATGAAAATCAACACGCATTATCTGAAGAAACTATGGCAAATGTCACTAGCAATGTTGGAAACCGAAGTGTTTATCTTGGAAATATTCACCCCTCAACTAGGTCTGAAGAAATTTGTAATTATATTCGTGCCGGTAATCTTGAATGTATTCAATACATCCCGAAAAAACAAGTCGCATTTGTCAGATTCGTTGATCCAAACAGTGCAGCGAGCTTTTTGTTTATGGCACAAAATTTAGGCTTGGTAATCAAAAATAGAAAACTTAAAGCTGCTTGGGGGGACAATCCAGGACCATTGCCTAAAGATATAGAGCATGAAGTGAATAACAGGCATGCTTCTCGTAATATTTATATTGGAAAACTTGGTGAAGGAATGACCGAAGAAAAACTATATAATGACTTTAAAAAGTACGGCGAAATAGAATCAACCAATCTTGTCAAAGAAAAATCATGTGGATTTGTCAACTTTATGTCTATTAGTTCTGCAATCAGAGCAATGAAGCTTATTAAAGGAAATGACGATTACAAAGACTGTTATATTAATTATGGAAAAGATCGTTGTGGTGATTGTAGTGACGCCAAAAATAGAAAACTTAAGGCTGCTGAGGATGACAATCCAGGACCATTGTCTGAAGAGGATGAAATGAATAACAGGCCTCCTTCTCGTAATGTTTATATTGAAAAACTTGGTGAAGGAATGACCGAAGAAAAACTATATAAAGACTTTAAAAAATGTGGCAAAATAGAATCAATCATTCTTGACAGAGAAAAATCATGCGGATTTGTCAACTTTATGTCTATTGGTTCTGGAATCAGAGCAGTGAAACGCATTAAAAGAAAAAGTGGTTACAAAAACTGTTATATTAATTATGGAAAAGATCGTTGTGATGATGGTAGCGATACAAATAAAAATAACAAATAAATTTGCAATATAAATTTTAAATTCTATTTAGAATCTTGATTCTTGTTATTCTTGTAATTTTTTTATATATTTCTCTAATTAAATAATAAATAAATGATCGATCATATATTATGAAATGATTTATTTTTTTTTTTTTTTCAAGAAAACAATGTAAAAAATAACATTCAATTTCACATTAAAAAAAATGAGATATATATTTGTTTATTGTACTATTGTTACATATTGACAAATAGGAGAACACAAACAAATATGCATGCAGTGAAACCTTTTAAATGTCTTATCGGTGAGAAGATTGCTTAACCGTTTTGGTATTATTATTGTGAATGTTTATATTATATACCGAAAAGGTAAAAAATAGAGGAGAAAACCGATATTGTTCTCCGATTTTTTAAAAATTCCCAAATAATTCAATATAACGATTTAGATGTTGATGACGATAACGATAAATGAAAATGATGTATATACATGTGATATATATATAATACAAGCAGTATATTTAAAAATAATTTTTATTAAATTTTTTCAACAATGCGGTAAGATAAGGACAATTGTTTGACTTACCGTTTGTTACATATCGTCAACGGCGTAAAATGGTTCTCGTTTAGGAAATTTTTTGTGCAAAGAAGAAAGATTGTAACCATAAACTGCTAGTTTGTCTATAATAATTAAAAAATAATAAATAACATGATCGTCTACAACAGCGCACTATGTCATGCATATTACATTTCATGAATGTTAGTATTGATATTCAAAATATGATTAAAGTGTGATTTGTAAAGAACTATTATAATTTTGTAATTCACAAAAAAAAACACGAGTGTGAGTGAGTTTTACAAATTTAAACATTAATATTAACATTGATCAATTTTTAAATATGAATGAACGGATGAATGGTCAATTATCAAGAACACATACACACACGGTATTCATCACGCAACACAATAATTAATATGTAACTGTCACATATAATATAGATCTTACATGAACCTCTTTTTTATATATAGTGTACAAATATAATAAATCTAATTGTTTATGGTTACATTAAGTTTTATTTATATTACATTTATTTTAATAAAAATACTATTTAAAAATCCACAACGTATGTTGTTGTATCTTTTCTCTTTTTTTTCCACACCGCACTATTTAAATTATTTATATATTCTCCCAAAAAAATAACTTTTTTTTTCTCTTGTATAAAAATATACATTTTATTATCTTTTCGCTAAAAACTAAAAATATTTTTCTCACTAAAAAAAATAAATTTCTAATTTCTTAAACCAAAATTCACTAATTAATTTAACTGATAATTACACGCAGTAAATTTGGAAAAAAATAAAAACAACGCACGGAACGAACTTGCAAACAACAAAAATATAATTTTATCTTTATTTCAGCAACAAATTTTGGTCGGAATAAAAAGCAGTAATAATAACATGTCAGCAATGGATATCAATAACAAAAACAAAATCAATACCAACAGTAATGAAGCATCACAAAGACCAGGAGTTGCTACAAATTTTTTATATAAAATAACAGAATTAGCAGCCTACACTTCAACTTTAGCCTCTGAAACTTATCAAACTTTAACTGGTGTAGGAACCAACAATAATAACAACAACAACGACGATGACAACAACGGCGACGGTAGCGAAGACGAGAGCAACAAAAAAAATAAAAATAAAAAGAATGGTGAAGGCTATTATTATTATTCTAGAAAAAATCAATATTATTACGACGATGTGATGAAAATTAAAGATGACGACGACGATTATGCGGAGGATAATGACGATGATTATTATTACAGTTCAGATGATGACATTAAAAAAGATCATTCCATTCGGAAATTAAATAACAACGACAACGATAATAATAACGATTTTGAACCTCCGCCACCATACGATAGTTCGTGGACTATGCCACCACCATCTGTGACTCCCAACTCTGGTAAAAATTCATTAACTGTACCAGCGTTATCTTCTTCACCAACTGCACAAGAATCAAATAATAAAGTTAAATTTGAAACTACCGGTGACGATGTTGATGGTGATGACGATGACGACGATGGTAACTTAAACAGCAACAATAAAAATAATAATTGTCCTCGTCGTAAACCAATACGTGTTCGTCGTAACCGTAGACCACTCCGTAGAAAATCTTCTTCGGTTGACTTGAGCTCATCATCATCATCATCATCGACATCCACATCGACAAAAAATCAAAAACAAGCCACTGAAGAAGATGATGTTTTCCATAAATTCAATTATAAATTAGCAGATATGATTGCAGAAGGTAAAGCTGCACTGACAAGCACAGTAGATATTAGTGAAGTTGAAATGATGATGATCGAAGCGAAAGAAAGAGAAGAAAGAATTATGAAAGAAATCGGTATTCAAACACCAATGACCAGAAGAGCAAGAAGACTTACAAATTCTTCTTCAACATCATCCGATTTTGAATATTTTGGTTCAGCTCCAATGTCTAATTCTTTTGATTATGGATATGGTTTAGCTCAAAGTGGCTATTCATCACCAACAGGTTATGATTCACCACCAATAGGATTCTTTTCGGCTAACAACACTTCTTCTACTGCTATAAACACCAACACTACCACTTCGTCGTCGTCATCTCCTTTATTATCATCACCAACTCTTGGATATTCAACGGTTGGAAATTCATCACCCACACAATATGGCTTTACCAACAATAATAATTATAATCATTACAGCAACATCAACAACAATAATCAATATAATAATAATCACCATTATAATAATTATAATAATAATCACTACAATAACAATAATAGTCATAATAATTATCCATACCATCATAATCATCACAGCAATAGCAATCATTATATTAATAATAACAACCATAATAATAATAATAATAATAATAATTATGGATACCCTTTATTTGTTGAATCTCCTTCTTCTAACAATACAATGATGATGACAACACCATCAACATTTAACAATAATCATGCTTATTATGGTAGTAACAGTGGTGGTCATAATAATAATAATAACTTTGGAATAAATCCTAATCTTATAAATCCAAACGGAATTTATAACTCAAGAGGATACTATTAATAATTTAATTTTACTAATTTAATTTAGAAAATTTAATTTTAATTTAACTTTTTCCTTATTTAGAAATAAAATTATAATTCGATTAATCCGTAGTTAGATTTTAAATTAGATTAATACTAGTACCATAAATATTACATAGAAAACTAATAATAATAATAATAATAATAATTATAACAATTATAATTATAATTATTTTTATAATAACAGTGTCGGTAACAAGATGATGATTTCAAATAGCGAGCAACCATTAAATAGTTTTAATAATTTATTGTCCTCTACAACAACAACATCATCATCTTATGATGGCGGAAGGAATTGGAATCAAAGAGAATATTATTAATTTGACATATAAATATATATAATTCGTATTTATTTTTAAAAATTTTTTTTTAATACACGTACACGTACACGTTCACATACCTTATTAATAATGAACGATTTTTTTTAAAAAAGAATCAAACAAATAAAAAGAAAGCAAATTTATTTTTAATTTCTTTTTTTGGGGGAATCAATATCCATCATGTGTATATATATAAATGAATATTGAATGGATTTATATATATATATAAAAAAATAATTTAAATATTTTTATTTATAATTGAATTCAAATAAATATAAATATTATATTGATTGTTGCAATTTTTTCATATATATATTATATATAATGTTTCCCATAAAAAACGAGCTAAGTTTACACATATATAATAATAAATAATAAAAACAAATGATAATAAAAAATTCTATAATAATAATTTAATCTATTAATCATAAATTAATCAAGAAAGAATCGTAATTATTCAATCAGTTGTTATATCTAAACAAATTATTAATGATTAATCATGATTAATTTACTCCGAAAATAAAGAAATAGAAAATTTTTTTTTTAATTAATTGATAAAACAAAAAATTTGTTAATTAACCATCCCAAACACACGATCTATATTTTCACCTATACGGTGCCCAAATCTTCACAGTCTGATCCACAGACCCTGTAGCAACAACAGGAGTACCACTATTAAATGCGATACATGTAACAAAATGTGCATGGGCTTCTAAAGTTTTGGTACATCGACCAGTTTTAACATCCCATATCTTTAGAGTCTTGTCATCTGATGCACTGAGAAGAAATTTTCCACTAGGATGGAATACAAGTCCACGAACCCAATTATCATGTCCCACCTATACAAATATAGTATTTTGTGATAAAATTAATTAATTAAATTCATTTTGAAAAAAAATTTATAATTTTTTATAATTTATTATGTGTAAAATATATATTACATACAAAAGTTCTCAAGCATTGACCTGTCGAATCCCATAGTTTAATTGTTTTATCCCTTGAACCAGTTACAATATATTGACCAGGAATTGGTTGATCTTTGTTTCCTTTGGGCTATATATTAATAAATGGAAAGTTTTATTAAAATATGTGCGCATATATATATGCAAATTTAAAATATATCATTGACTTATTATTTTAAAAAAAATAAACTTACATCTTTATCTACACCTATCAATTCTCTTATTAAAGGATATGCAACAAGAGGTGCAAATATTGCACATTCTACTACATGATCATGATCCCTAAAATCCATTTTACAATCACCACTTTGTACTTCCCATAAACGTGCAGTCTTTTTTTTTTAAAAAAAATCAATTATATGCATATAATTATTATTCATATTATATGATATATATATATATATATATATATATATATATATATTTCCAAAAAAAAATAATAAAAAGTTGTAAATATAAATATGATACCTGATCGTTTGAACTAGTTACAATCCATTTTCCATCTTCGCTTGGTGATACCATTCTCACCCATTCCAAATGACCAGTATATGTTTTTATACAATACCTATGTAAATATATTTATGTATGTATATTTTGTAAAAGAATCTTAAACAAAAAAATTTTTTTTTTTAAGAAAAAATTTTTATGTATACCAACCCTGATGATAATTCCCATAATTTGATTGTCTTATCTCGTGAAGCTGATACAATAATATCACCAGATGGTAAAAATGCAACTGATGAAACACTATGATCATGTCCATACAAAGTTTTAATGCATTTATAATCATTTTGTAAATCCCACACTTTTATTGTCAAATCTGCAGAACAAGTCACTAAAGATACATATATGTGCATGTGCAGCAGCATTAGAATATTTAATATAAATATATAATAGTCATAAAAATATAATTAAAAGAAAAAATATTTTACCCAAATAGTTGCCTTTAGGATCAAATGTTATATCTTGAACTGCTTTAGTATGACTTTTAAGTGTTCTTTCAAATTCACCAGTTTCATAATCCCAAATCTTTATTGTAGTATCTTCAGAAGCAGATGCCAATACAGAAAAAACAGGATGAAACGTAACGCGTGTAATTGGATTCCTATGCCCTGTTAGTGAATATTTTTCTGGTGCTCGTGGTACCCAATCAACTGCACTATTAGTTTTTCTTAAAGGTGCATTATTAAGTTCTTCAGACATCTGTGTAATCTTATTTTCTAAATCCATAATCTAATAACAAATAATTCATTTAAATAAATAAATATATATATATGTATAAATAGATATAGATAAATATCAAGAAAAGCAGCACTTGACTTTAATCTTAAGGTATATAATTATAAAAAAAGATCATTAACATCTAAAGAACTTTTCAATTTCTTTCTTTCTCTATATATATCTTTTTTAATACCTTTTTTTGTAACCGAATCACCGAAGTCCATTTTTTTTCCAATAACCCTGCGTATTTTTGTTTGGGATCTGGATTGAAATCATTTTGGTGCGCATCAGTTTTTAACGAATTAAATGATTCTGTAAATCCATTTGCATAAAGATAATCAAGAACAGCTTTATGTCTTTAAAAAAAAATTTTTTATAAAAAAAAAAAATATATATATATATATATGTATGTATGTATGTAGATATATATTAATAAGCTTTTTAAAAAAAATCACAACTATTAAATAAAAATGTTTATAAACATTAGAAACTAATGATGTATAAGTATAATCTTAATCAAAAGAATTGACACAATTGAATTGTTTTATTATTAAAATTAAAAATTATTTTTAATCAAATAGTTTGGTAAATCCGGTATTTAAGTAAAATTTCACAATTAGCATACTTACAGCTCATCTCTTTGGCGATCTGACAATACTGTAGACATGACTCGTGTTTGGGAACGGGATATTAAAATTTTTTGTATTTATTCTAATATTTGAACTTATAAAGTGAGAAGACTTTGGCTGAGGTTTTTTTTTAAAGTAACACTAGGGTGGTTAAATATGCAGATCAAAATTATATAACCCCATTTGAACCATGAGTATTTTTGCACGAGATTTTATGATAAATGCATATCTTTTCTAATAAATAAAAACCTATTAACATTAAAGTTTCGAAAGTTGCCTTTTTAAACAAAAAAAACAACAAGTTTAAATTAATTCAACTTTTTAGCGATTATTTTGTATTAAATTATAAAAATCGATTTTTTATTTATCAATAGAACCATATTTAGTAGTAGAATTTTTCCTGATTGTGCTGCTTTTTCCACTATTATTACTATTATTGTCGTTACTATTGTTGTTGTTGTTGTTGTTGTTACTGTTCTCAACATTAGTTGTCTTTAATTTTATTTTATTCTTCATGTTTCCATCAACTATATCATTGCTTTCTTTTTTCTTTTTGGTAATTGCTTTCGATGAACTATGTAGAATTGCTGAGCTTTTTAATAAATTAGATTTATAATATGGATATGAACGTTGTCTCGATTGACGTGGTGGATGACGCACAACTTTGATTTTATTTTGTACTGAATATAATAAAAAATTTTACGATATGTTAACGTCCGTCGTATGTATTTAATTTTAATAATAAAAGTATCTATACCGTCAACATAAACATCTGTCTCGTCAATAATTTCCTTTTTTTCAAAAAAAAAAAATTTTTTTTTTCCATGTTAAAAAAAATCCAAGAAAAATTAATTTAAAAATTTTTTTCTGATTTTACACACCTCTCCAATCAACTCTTCAATAACATCTTCGAGAGTGATTACGCCAAGAGCTCCTTTATCTCCCCCAGGATCTTCTGAGACAAGTACCATGTGGCCTAATAATATTTATTAATAACATTCATCTATTTACGTTTCTTTATTGTCGATTAACAAATAAATTGAATAAATAATAGTTTACTTCTGCCTTCTTGAAAATAGTTTAAAATGTCTAAACAACTTGTGTCTGGTGAAGTTTCTGGTAGTGAGCTTAATGGAAAATCCCTGACAGACCATGCATCTTCTGGATCATATGTAATTAGTTTTTTAACTAAAAGCATACCTATAAAGTGCGTTGGATTTGGTGGCTCATAAACTGGAATACGAGAATAACCTGCCGAAAGAATCTAAAATATCCCAAAAAAAGTTTTTTTTAAGTATTTTATTGTGACTATCTACATAACATATTTTTCCATTTATTCACCTCATCAACCGTTTTTTCATCTAATAAACAATCAGCACTTAATGTATAAGAATTTTCCAAAGGTGTCATGATGGCTGAAACGGATTTTTCACGAAGATCTAACACAGAACCAATAATTTGAACTTCATCTTCATTTAAACTTTCAATTCCGCCATTTTTATGCAAAGAAACAAAAGTTTTTAACTCTTGTTTTTGGTTTTTTGTAAATAAAATTTTGTTACGTATATATTAATAATATTCTTTATATACATACATATAAATAAGTTCAAAACTTATAATACATACCAGATTTACGATACATTATACCGTGATGTTCGCCAAGAAAATAATCCAATAGTAGAGCTATCGGGTACGCTATAGGAAACATTGTATACATTAAGAACAACACAAACCTATTCCAATATAAATGATGTAAAAAATAAATAAAAAATCGTAATTTTCTAATTTGCAGCAACTTTTTTTTTATACCATGAAAATCCGGCACCTATAGCCAAGCCATAACGAACACATATGGCTTTTAAGGATAAAATTAATGAATATTTATATATATACACACACATATATACATATATATATTCAAGATTTATTATAAAATACTAACCTTGAGGAATTATTCTGAAATATTCAGTTTATAAAATTTTAAAGTAAATAACACACGATAAAATATTTATATACTATTGAAAAAGTTCCATTATTAAAATAATACACATACTCCCCAAATAGAACGATTAATGCAGTTGATATTAACACTGCCGGCCAACCTCCTCCAAAAAGCGAGTCCATAATGATTGGTAAAGTTTCATTGACAATCACATTGGAGAGTAATAAAGTTACTAATACCCAGTGTTTTCCACGTTTTAAAAGTTCAAATACTTTTCTTGCATAAATACGTTCCTTCGAATCTCCTGCTACCATTAAAACTTGTAAATTAGTCTCATCTAAGCCCATCAAGCCTATTGTAAGCCCTATTATTTAAATATTAGTAAAAGAATATTTTATTTTAAAGGTTAAGGAAAGTATGGTTAAGAAAAATACAGCCAAGGAGAATATATTAATGAAATAGATAAAACATCACGAATTACCAGCAAACACGCCTCCGAGTATTACTAATGCTGAGATGGTAAACAATTTCATTGTGAAATCTGAGGTTCCACCCTCCTCATCAAGTAACTCAATAACTTTACTCTTTATTGTAAATTGCGGTAAGTTAAGAGTTGAAACTCCATTTAAAGAACTTAAAATTGTAGAAAATATAAATAACCATCGAAATAATTTATACGATGCTTTAAAACATAAAATAGATATTATTGACATTATTTTAATATTTTGATTTTTAAATTAGTATTTTACTAATTGTTACTTTATGTTCAAATCATATTTAAAAAAGGATGTGATCTTCTATTACATTAATTTTAATAACACGCACGATATATATTTTAATAAATAAAAACAGAAATATAAAAAATCGAAATTTTTTAATTTGCAAAATCTTCTTCGTCCCATGCCCATCCAGGACTACTACTCCTCCCTTTATTATTACAATTTGGCTCTTTAAATATCATTTCATCATATTTTCTTTTTTTATCTTTGTCTAATTCATGATGATGGTACTTTGGTATTAAACTATTGTTGTTGTTGTTGTTGTTGTTGTTATCATTACTAATATAATTATTGTCTTTATCATCATCATCATCGTCATCATCGTCACCATCATCATCATCATCATCATCATCATCATCATCATCATCATCATTGTCATCATCATCATCGTCGTCGTCATCAACGTCATCATCAACGTCATCATCTTCTTCATCATTGTCAACATTATCATCATCATCATCGTCATCATCATTATTATTATCTTCCTCGATTTCTCCTTCTTCCATAGAAGAAATAGAACTTATCTCACCAATCAAGTTACCATTGCCATTACTATTTTCTTCAATTTCTACATCTTTAGTTTTAATTACTTTTTTATGCCATTTCTTTGGAGACTTTTTAATGATTTCTTTATCGGAACAATTGTTGTTGTCGGGGGTTTTTTTCTTTTTCTTCTTAACATCTTTTTTTTTTATAAGCTCACTATCTGAACTTTCAGCTTCAGACTTTTTAGATTTGAAAGGATTTAGATTATTATTATCTACGGCCATTACTTTATCTTCTTTTTTATCAACTTCTACGCCTTCACCAATTACATCTTCAGCATTTTCTTCATTATCACAATCACCAATATCTTCAATCGAATTCTCTAACTTTTTAGATAATGAATGTTTATCCCCTACACTATTTAATGTTTCAAGTATTTCTAACAACATCTCATATTCTCTACAAGATTTTTCGTATAAAGTTATTTTTTCTTGAGTATGTGAAGTAATATGCTGAGCAATTGCATTGTATGTTATATTAATACGTTGTTGAGCATATGTCATAACATATTCATTCTGTGATGAATTTGATTGAGTGCTGTTGGTTGGAGAGAAATGTGAAGTTGTCAAAGATGATAATATGGATTCATCATATTCTGTTGAGTGATGAATACTTGATGAAGTTTATAAATACATTATTTATAAACGAGTTAGATAATACATATAGTAATGAAAAATCAATAGCCTATGGTTTTAAATATATAAACAAGTCTTGTAATACCTATCATCATTATGTGCTTGATGCATATATTCTGAAGCTTGTCCAGGTACAATTATAAATGGTGCTGGTATTATATTAGTGGCTATGTTGTCATTTGTTGTATTTATCTAATTTATTGAAATAAATAAATGAAATTAATAATTATTATTAATTTTATTATTTATTCATATTATTTATTTATAGAATGATTTTATTTTTACATTTTTTGTTATATTTTTATCTACGATATTTTCATTATCTAAACCTTTTTTTTTCTTATTTGAATCGTCCATAAGATCATCTGCAACGAATGAAGCACTTCTTGATAAACCTTCAGCAATATCCGTTGTACTTGCCCTCCTTGTTCTTATCTTTTTATTGACTGTGCCCGAACCATTACCCCAAATTGAAAATAATTCTCTAACATCATCACACTCATCATCCATATCATCCGTTATAGAGTTGTTATGTGTAAAATTAGAACCTAAACCATTAATTCTAGGAAGGACATCTGCTAATTCTTGTAATATATGTGTTTCTACGACATCGCCTTTAACATCACAAAGCAGGTTCAGCACTTCGTTCAAACTTGGAGCTGAAAAAAATGCTTGTGCTGTTGTTGTATCAATGTCTGCTAATGGTGACAAAATTGGATTAATCGGTTTATCAATTTTTCTTATTAATAATCCTATAAGATCTTGAAATAATGCACATGATTCTCGTGCAATTAACGGTGTGATCTCTCTTACGTCGTATTCTAAACAATGAATATAAATTATTGCTATTTTTATAAAAATAATTTTTTTTATTGCTTTGAATAATCATCCTTATGGTAAATACCTGAATGTTGTTTAAGGTAATTTGCTACTATTACTTTTAACATGGCGGATTGAAAAGTACGAAAATAAGCAGATGCAATTTGTGTTGGTTCACATTGATTAATTATATCGTTTTCTGGTGCCTTTCAATATATTAATTAAAAAAAATATTATTTATAGCACGTGTATTGAAATGAACAATAAAAGTATTTTTGTGAAAATAAACACTTACAGCAAACCATCCTAAAACTGTTTGACCTTTCCAATTCATTAATTTTGCAATTGTGCTAATTAAATCTTGTGAACAGGATTCGTAAAGAAAAAAACCCTAATAAATAAAGAGATCGATTAAATAACGCTTCTTTTTATACTAGAACAATAGGTTATCAATTTATTACTACTTACTTTTACATGAATTACCAAACCACGATCTAAACATTCTTCACGTTGACCAAACAAAATACCTTGAAGAGGAGCATCTTCAGAAGCTGGCCTAAGCCTGACAAATACATCTAACAAGATTGTGTAATTAACGTTCTACGATTGGTACAATGAGAATTTTTTTTGCAAGAAAAAAATGTGACAATCTGTGACAGGTAGATTTGTCATTTAAAATTTTTAAGTCAAAATACCTTTTGGAATCTGAATTGATGCAGACATTCTAATCAAATTATGAGAAATGTTTTGTAAAACTTTTTTTTATTATTTAACAATTTGGGGATCATTTTCTATATAATATACCCCAATATCTTGCATCAAAAATCAAAAGAAAAGAAACATTTGTCGTGTCACGATCTCCTTCCAAAACCCGTAAGTCGTGCGACTTTCGTACAGGTTTTTTGTCGATTGTCTCTTTTTACGTCTAACTGTGTCTGCTTTTTTCGGTTTTTGGCGCAATCAACGTTTTCACCATATTTAATTAGCAAAAATTTGTCGGACAGCAAATGGGTTTGCTTTATAAAAATATATCGCTTTGAATTGAATTGCAAAAGCGAAGCAATGCAAACATTATTAGGAAAACCCTTATTTTTCAAACCTATTTTTTTGGGAAGGAATTTTTTGTTTTCACTGGGTGGTAAAATTTTGAAAAAAAAAATTTTTTTTATTTTTCTGAAATCGATCTACGTGATTCTTTTTCTTTCTGATATATAAAAATTTTTGTTTATTTTACATTTTAAGAAGAGTTATCTAGTTTCAACAATTGAACTCACTATTGTTTCTTGTTTTTTTATCATATATATGCTACTAAGAATGCTTTTTTAGTGGTGGCGAAGCATTTTTTCCGTTTAATATTTAGTTAACGTGATGAAGATCATACCATTGATTTGTTTATTTTACTTTTATAAGAAAAGCATCATTCTATTTATTTAATTAATTAAATTGACAATTGAATTTTTTATTGTAATTAAAAATGTTAAAAACATTTTTACTATTATCATTTTTTTTTTTGATCGTACCATTGATTTGTTTACTTTTTAAGAAAAAATGTTATCTTTATTGACAATTGAATTGATTGTCTATTACTAAAAATGCCAAAAAAAATTTTACTATTTATGAATTATCATTTGTCCTTTTTTTTTTTGTATCGTACCATTGATTTAGAAAAGCATTATGTGTTTAATTAATTAATTGACAATTGAATTTGATTATTTGTGTATTGCTAAAAATGCTAAAAAACAAAGTGCTGTGCATTTAATTAATTGACAATTGATTATTTGTGTATTTAATTAAAAAATTCTAAAAAACATTTTTTTACTATTTTAAGAAATGCATTATGCATTTACAATTGAATTTATTATTTAATTAATTGACAATTTGAATTGATCATTTGTTTATTACTAAAAATGCTTTGAACATGTCTATACATTAATTTTGTAAAGCTGGATTGCAAGCTTCGTAGATCTTGACTTTAACACTTGCTTTGATTAAACCCGTCTATATAATTATTGAATAATTGATAAGCATTCATTTTGCAAAGCTAAATTGCAAGCTTCATAGATCTTAACTTTAACACTTACTTCGATCAAACCCGCTTATACAGATCACTCCTGTCATAAGGATAGCTCGTTATAGTGACAATCTCGTTACAGTGATATTTTTTCAAAAACAAATTTTATAAATATAAATTTACTCCCGTTATAATGACATTCACTATATATCCCGTTATACGAGTATAAGGACATAATTTGCCAAAAAAATTATAAAATCTATCACGTTATAATGACATCCGTTATAATAATAATAAATTCTGATTATGTTATGTTCGATGTTTTCATATTAAATCAAGCTTATTTTTATTAACACAATACAGCACCCATGGGAATCGCTTTTTTTAGTAATTTTATGTTTTGTCACGCATAATTTATTATATCAATCATCACAGTTTCATATAAATTGTTATTTGTCACAGGCGCTATCTTTCCGGATTTTGTGGTAATTGATAAATATTTATAAAAAATGAGAAAATTGTCATATTAACGAGAACCTGAAATATTGATTAGTATATTCTTTCTGTTTACATAATTATTTATGAAGACAAATTAAAATGTGTTCCTTATGATGATTTTTTTCAGTTTGAGCTTTCTTTTTGGGTTTAAATTTAATCCTCCATTATTAACACGAATTATAGTGTTGTAGTCATGGTGCTGATGGAGGATATTTTTGTGATCATTTTATGAGTGGGATCGTTGATAATTATTGCTCATAAAAAAAATCAAAGAATTTATGAAACTAAATAATGATAAAATTTTTTATAATTGCTGCACAAAATTAAATATTTTTTTCGTGGAACAATAAAATCAAAATCAATAGTGTCACAAACGTCAACAAGCACTTTTTTTTTTAAAATTCAGTGATGGCTTTAAGATTTATTAATCATACGGCTCCTAAATTATTTCGTTCTAAATATTCTTTTCAAGTGTTATCATCCCCGGTTAGAGTTTTTGCCTTTCATACAGGTAATAAATTATGCATTTAATTAATTCTTATAATAGATTAAAAGATTAAAATCAAATCAAATCGATGATAATTTCTATTATTAGGACGTACTCATTTATTTCAAAATTCCAAATCTGCTAAAGATGGAGCCAGTAAGTTTATTTTAGACATTAGTTTACATAATAATACCATTATTATATTGTCAATTAATACATGTATATGTATATAGGTTATATTAAAGGATCTGTTAATGATGCAGCAATTTTGCCAACAAAAGATAAAGTATCTGGGTCATATCACTGGGATTTCGAAAGACTTTTATCGATATCATTAGTTCCATTAACAATCACCTCAGTTATAAATGGAGCACATCCGATTACAGATCTTTGTCTAGGAATAATCCTACCAATTCATTGTCATATTGGATTTGATGCAATTATTACAGATTATTTTCCAGTTCGTAGATCACCAAAACTTAACAAATTATTTACTTGGGGATTAAGAGGTGCTACGTTGTTGGTGCTTATAGGTTGTTACAAGATTAATACAGTTGATGTGGGAATGACTGAAATCGTGAAAAGAGTTTGGCATGCTTAAAGAAGATTCTTGGAAAGAGAAAGAGAGATAATATAATTAAATATATATTTTATTATGTTGTATCACACATTTATCATAATATTATATTTATTATTTAAAAAAGAAAACAAATAAATTCTTTGATATTTATAATAAGAATTGTATTTTTTTTCAAAAATGTTGTTCTCTATGCTATTTGTGTGTGTAGATTATTTAGTGTGATCAGACAGAAGGGATGTTAAATGGTCTGACCCAGTCCAGTCCATATCAGTCTTATTTAAAAATGGACCGAACTGTCAGTTTTGAAAATGGACTGAAAAAGACTAATGGTTTAATCCAAGACTGCAGTCTTTAAAAATGATAAATTTAATTTTAACTATATTAAAAAATTAATCCAATCCAATTTAACTCTTCATCACCTTCCATATTTTCATTAGATGTAGATAGATGGTTGTTCAACAACACCTAAGATAGTTTGATCACTATAAACTTCTGAAAAATGTGTCAACAAACTTTTTAAACATCATCAGGAAATTTTTAGAGGCATCAAATAGCATTGAACAATGTCCCTGTTTTCAACATCAAAAAAGTGATAATAAACAGACCCTATGCAAACAAACAGCATCGAAAATCTAATATGTGGTGGGAATTGCACAGTACAATCATTAATAACTTTATAAATAATTTAATCTCCTGAAATTGGGTTATGAGATCAATTTCTTTCTTCTCTAGTCCTATCATTCTTTATTGGAAATAGAAATAAACTTATAAGACATACTAACTCGTATCTCCAAACAAAAATTTATATAGTCAAAAAAGCATATCATGGCATCAGCTCTTGTTAAGCAAGTTGGCCGTAATAAGGAATCCAAGTTTGTTGCTTTATTGGGAGACCTTTGTGTGATTTCCTTCTATTCATATTTGATACTAGAGAAAATTGAAAAGAAGGATAAAAAAATACATAACTAGAGATTGGCATGTGATACCACATAGCTTAAATTAGAGTTGAATCATTTATTACTTTAATTATTACTGGTTATTTTAATAGAATTATTATTTATGATGTTGAAGTGTAGTGATTCTACAAGAATCTTTTCAAGATGCTTAGCACTTCATAACCATGCAAGCAATGTAGTAATTAATATGAATAAGGAAAAATTGATGATTATTGTACAGATTAAGGTGTTCAGGTTGTGGAATCCCTGATACTGGCTTAAAAAGGTAAAACTCAATTTATTGATGAATTTGATGTTTCCTAGCAGAGCAAACATCATATATGCAGCTGCTTTAAGTAGATGCTTATTTAATCTAATACCATTGTGAAAATTTGTTATTGCTTATAGGCATCAAAAGGCCTAAAATAATGTATTAGCTATTTATAAGATATTAAATATTATGATTTTTTCCCAATTGAGGCAGAAGGATTATATTGCAACAAATCCCAAGATTTGTGATGGTCAACAAATTTTTTGAAAAAGCTCAATACAATATTCTTGGAATTGTGCAAAACAAATATTCAAAAGTAATATTAATATAGTTTTTAAAAAAATGCAAAGTTCATGAAGTGGGTCAGGTGCCAACAGAATCCCAGGAGAGTGACTTTATTTTTTGTAAAAAAACCTTATCACAATACAGTATCCTTCTCTTTTGATAATTCCATTGCAAGGTAGCCTTTTCATTAACACCAATCATTTATGATTATTTAACAACCATTACTATGGGCTTAACTTTTGAGTCACCTTTGTTGGTTAATTCACAATGATTTGGTGCTTGTCAATTAATTGGTTTTGCAAATTTACTTTGGTTCTCGCTTGCTGATTGACTCTTTCTTGTACCTAGAAAGCTTCAGAGAATCTGTAAGCATATAAGATAATTGTAAATAAATGAAGATGGCCTTTTACAAAGTTCAAAGGCCCCTCTCTCTATAAGTTCCTTTTTATTCACTTGTGACTGATTTATTTCAATGGTCATTAAAAAACTTGCATATTCTCAGTTTCATCATTCCACTCACTCACTGTGATGTTTAACTTGTTCAAAACATTTGCATAACAAAAAAGTTTATTATTATTATTATTTATAATAAGGTACCTTTGGCTAGAGAACTCCCAATTGATTTATTGTTTGGTCCAGTCCAATTGCCAACATTGTTCTTCATTGTTTAAACAATGAAGTAAGGATTACATGAAAAAAAGTTATAAGAATACAGTTTTTTTTTTGAATAACTAAAAAAAAAACACCCTTTTCATCTTTTTTTTTTCAAAAGATAAATTTCAAAATCTTCCTTTACTTTTGTTATCAAAAAATCATTTTATCTATCTTTTTTATTAATTTAATTCGCAGATCATTTATCAGGGGCATATTTACTAATGATTGACTGTGTTTGTTAAGTTGTTATGTAATGTACAAAATTTATATCACACTAAAATTTATGCAAAACAATAGAAAAAATGGCAAAAAACATGGAAATCCAAAAAAAAAATTTTTATTTAGAGAAAGCTATACAGTGTTGGAAATTTTATGCCGGGTTTGTGTTACATAATAAATGCGCACATTTTTATAGTGCAGGACATCTATAACGGTCAATGATTATCACATGATTTTAAAAGCTTATAACTCCTTATTAAAAAAATAAAAATAAAAAGTAAACCGATAAAATTAAAGCTAAAGACCTAAGCTTCATTTCCATCAGTTTACTTTTTTCATTTTATTAGAAAAGTTTTGGGTTATAAGGCTTCAAAAACATACAAATTTTATAATAAAATGAAAATTTCGGACATGATTTTCCTCAAAAATTTCTTTATTTGTTACTAGTGTACTCCAAAAGTCATGTGTTTTTGTTACACCAGAAATTTTTATTTTGAGGTGTATATATATATACCACACACACATACATAAAATCATTAAAAAAATTAAAAAAATTTCACTTCATATACTTTGAGAAAAATGCCAAGACCAACTAAAAGTAAGTCTAGTTACAAAAACCAAATAAGAAATCCTGATGGAACTTTTTATAGTAGAAAATTAAATAAAGGAAAGGAAATAGGTAATGATTTTTCATGAAAACTCTTGGAATTGGTGAATAAAGAAACTCTTAAATTGAATATCTAAAGATTATTTTTCAGAAAGCACCCTTGGGAATGTGGCTGAATTGGACAATGATAATTTCTTGGGAGAAGTTCTTGAAAATGAAGTTGAATTGGGTGAAGACAATTTTTCAGAAGTTCTTGAAAATGAAGTTGAATGGGGAGATGATGATGATAGTGGTTGGGAAGAGGATATAGAACAAGAAAGAAAATTTTTCAAAAAAATAATTGAAAAGCCAATAGAGTTAAAATGGACTGATGATGCACTGTTAATAAAGCAAAAGAGAGGTGTGTATATGAAAGGTAAGACTCCAAAATCCACTTATTATGATAAGTATGGACCAAGTGGTTCATTTACTAAAGGCGCAGAAGGGAGTTCAAAGATTACACTATTTTTCCCAAAAAAAAGTCACAATTCTAATGATTTACCAAGTGATTGGAAGGAGGTTTTAGACAATTCTGATGATTCTGATATTGAGTGGGAAACTCAAGATCTATTTAATCGAATAGAAGCTTTAAAGAATGATATTATTACTAACCAAAACAAAATGAGCATATTGGAGTATAACAAGAAACGTGCAATTTTTGAATATTTAAATAGATTGGACAACAAAGGAAGAGGGAAAATGAATGCTGGCATAGAAGCAGCTAAAATAATATTTATTGAAGGTAACCCAGGTAAGCCCAGAATTATAAGATGTTGGGCATCATTTTGGTTGAAAAATAATAAATTACCAGTTAGCAAACAAGGAAAACATCAAAAAACTATCAGAATCATTGATGATGAAGATATTGCTGAAAAATGTCACATGTGGATAAGAAGTCAAGGAGGAACAATTACCCCTTTGAAGTTTAAAAATTTTGTGGAACAACAATTATTGGTAGAGAGTGGAATCACCAAAACAAAGGATATTAGTGTGAAAACAGCAACTAGATGGTTGAATATTTTGGGATATTTCTTTCAGAAGAACAGGCAGGGTTTATATTTTGATGGACACGAGAGACCAGATGTTCTTGAATATCATAAAATATTTCTTGAAAAAATATTTGAATATGAAAAATTCATGACCAAATATGATGATATAACACTAGAGCCAATTTCACCTGATCTTAAACCTGATGAAAAGGAAATTATTTTAGTGACACATGATGAGTGTATATTCTATTCAAATGATGGGAAGAGAGGAATTTGGGCTAAAAGTGGTGAGTTGCCATTAAAAAAAAAAGGTAATGGTAGGTCAATAATGGTAAGTGAATTTTTGACTGAAAAGAATGGAAGATTACATTTAAATGAAGTACAAATTACAAGTAATCCATATGTCCCAGAAGAATCTAGAGTTATTTTAAAACCAGGTAAAAATCATGAGGGGTATTGGACTAATGATCATTTAATTGAGCAGGTGGAATTTAAAGCTATTCCAATATTTGAAGCACTTTTCTCAAACTGTACTGCTCTTTTTGCGTTTGATAATTCAACAAATCATGGTTATAAATCAGATGCTCTTGTGGCAAGTAGAATGAATTTAAACCCAGGAGGTAAGCAGCCAAAAATGAAAGATACTGTTTTTGGACCTAATAATATATTTCAATCCATGGTTTTTGAAGATGGGATACCAAAAGGAATGAAACAGGTGTTGGTTGAAAGGAACCTGTGGAAAGAAGGTCTGTTAGCTGATTGCAAGTTATGCAGAGGAAAAGTTGTGGATGAAGGTAGGGTTGATTGTTGTGCCAGAAGAATTCTATCCTTACAACCTGATTTCAAAAACCAAAAATCAGCTTTAGAAGAATTAATTTTGGAATCAGGACATTTGTGTGTTTTTTACCCTAAATTTCACTGTGAATTAAACTTTATTGAAAGGTATTGGGGTGAAGCTAAAAAATACACTAGGGATAAATGTGACTACACATGGGAAGGATTACAGAGGACAGTACCTGAAGCATTAGATTCAATAGATGTAATTACAATAAGAAAATTTGCCAGAAAGTCTTGGCGATATATGGATTTATACAAAGGTGGTATATCAGGTAAATTAGCAGAGTATGCTATTAAAAAATATAAATCACACAGAAGAATTCCTGAATATGTTTTTCAGGAATTAAATAATATTAAAATAGATTAAATTTCTAATTTCTCAATTTCATAAAATATTTTATAATCATCATTTTATATTTATTATATATATGTGTATATATTTGGAAATAAATTCCTACAAATAAATTTTTTAAAAATCTCATTAAAAAAAAACAAAAAAAAAAAAATAGTGAGGAAGTGATCTTTCCAAATAAATAATAATAATCTTATTAAAAAAAATTATTCACACTCGAGAACAAATCTTTCACTTTTATCTTTTATTTGCTTTTTTTTGATGATTATTTTTACTAATCCTCTATGTATAATGGTTTTTTGTATTTTTTGACTTCGGTCCATTCTGTTTATTTTAATAAATAAAATTCATCATTAATCTAATAATAGTATGATTATGAATGGATCCAATATTTAAAAAACTCACTTTGCTTTCAGTTCAATTCTATGCTCAAATAGAACTCCGTTCTTAAATAAATAATTTTTATTTATTGGGTTTATTCCATGAGGAATATCATTTAAAACCCCCATAATATAAATCAACTTGTTAGATGGACCAACTTCTACAACGATTTCTTCTGGACGTGCTATGGTTGGGACATTTGCCATTATTATATATTTGTTACTATTTCAAATAAAAAAATAATTTAATTTTTATAAAGTTAATGTAGAGAATATTAATTTTATATGATTCATACCCATCATCAAAAACACTATGGTTCTTATCATCATCGAAAATTATTTTTTCACTGCCACTACTGTTACTGCTACTATTATTATCAGTAGCACTGCTGCTACTACTATTATTAAAAGTACCATTACTCCTGCTACTATTATTATAAACATTACTGCTGCTACTATTATTATCAACATTACTGCTGCTACTATTATTATTTTGGGTACCATCACTGTCATTATTAATATTATTATTACTTCTATTGTTATTATTATTATTGTTACCATTATCACAGATATATTTTACTACTTTATTACTTCTATAATGGGTGGCAGCTGAAAAAATAATTAGGTGGTCTTCATTATCACGATATTCACAATTATTGTGATTGAAAAAAAAAACACCAGCTTCAATCCGATCATGAAAGTGCACATGGGCAAACCTAAATTAATTATAATTAATTTAAAATATTTTTTAATATGAATCAACTCTCCATAATATAGTTGAAATTATATATATAAAGGAGTACCAAGAAAAAAGCTTTACCTTTTACCAGAAATTTTTTTTACGTGGGAATATACTGCTCTGGGTAAACTAGCATTTATCCAATTTTTGAAATAATTGGCATTTTTGTTTGTATGGTCCGAGCCTCCAATAAATATTGTAAGTTCAGGATTTGAACAGCATTCTAACCATTTAATAAATATGTATTATTTAATAATAGTTTATATATATAAAACAGGAAAGGGGAGAAGCATCTTTCCCAAGTGAGGGAAAAACTTCAAGCAAGGGACATTATTTTTAAGTGAGGGAGGAATGGAGGAAAACTTCACTTAAAAATAATGTCCCTCGCTTGAAGTGGAGAAAAGCTACACTTGAGAATAGATACCTCTTATTAATTCAAATTCGTTTTCCATTATTATTATTATTGTTATATATATATAAAATTTAAAAATTTTTTTTTTTTAATCTTATATATATATATTACTATTAGAAAAAGTCAGAATTTGATTGGCTATGTCACATATGATCGACATTTTAAATTTCGGACTATTAACCATTATACAGTGCAGGACATCTATAATGGTCAATAGTCCGAAACTTAAAATTTTAGAAGATCTTTCTAATTTAAGTAATCA